GGGGGGGGGTGTGGGGGGGGGGGCAGCAACTAAAAATATAAGGAGAAGGGGCAGCACGTGGCTCACCCCAAAAATAGCAGCAGGCGGCCGCGGTCGCGGCGGCGGGGCTGGCATTGCTGCCGAGGACGCCGGCGAAGGTGAGGAGGGGATGGGAAGGGTTTCTCCATCCGCCGTGCTCACCCAGGCTGTCCCTGACCAGGCAGAGGGGGGGAAAACCCATCGTGTCCCCCCCACCGCCATCCCCACCACCGCCCCGGGGTCTCTTCGAGGTGGGGGAAGGAGCGGCGGAGGGTTTGGGTCGAGTTTGGCCGCCCGGAGACTCTCCCTGCGCTCGGAGGCAGCCGGGCGAGCTCTGAGTCACCTCCCCACCCAGCCCGCGGGACCTCTCCCCAGCTCCCTGACTCACAAACCTGTTTGGCCTCCGCCGGAGTTGAGTTTTCCAGATGGTTCCGTGGTGGCCGAATAGTTCCTCCGGCGGTGACGCTTCTTGCAGAGCCGCGGGGGGGGGGCGGTGAGGGGGGATGGGACCTCCAAGGTCACCCTCGTCCCACCTTCTTCTCCAGCTGGGCCACCCGGAGCCCCTCGGGACAACGTCCCACCGTCTCCTGAAGCTCCCCGAGGGCGGAGATGCCACCAACCCCTCCCCGGGCAACTTCTGCCGGTGCCTGGGGACCCTCCCAGTGAAAAGGAGCTTCTCCATGGGTGACGGTAGAATCGTTTAGGTCGGAAAAGACCTTTAAGATCATCGAGTCCAACTGTCAACCCAACTCCACCGGTCCTCCAGTTTGTGCCCATGGCCGCTGGCCCACCAGCACATGCTGGTGCCCGGGGTCGTTCCACCCCACGGGCGGGACTTTGCCCGTCCCCTCGTTGAACGAACGCGACCGTTCGCCGCCTTTGTGTCGGTGGCTCGTGGTCAACTTGGTGTCTGCCAGGACCCCCGGGGCCTTTGTTCCGAGCTGTTTTCCAACCAGGTGGCCCCCAGCACCTATTGGTGCTTCTGGATGGTGGTCCCAAGCTGGTCCCCCCGGTTCAGCATCATCTGCGACCTTGTGCCCCATCCTGCAGATGATTTAAAAAGCAGGGACCGCTCAGCTGGCAAGTGCAGAACCCCGGTCTTGCAGATATCCTCAGGTTGCCGGAAGAGCTGGTGGAGTCTCCGTCTTGGAGATATCCGCGAGCCGTCCGGATGCGGTCCTCCACGGGCCGCCTCGAAGTGGCTTGTGGTTTGGACCAGGTGATCTCCGGACATCCCGTCCCACCTCAACCGCTCCGTGCCCCGAGGCAGTTTGGGGTTTCTCTGGGGCTTTGGAAGGCAATGATGTCACATGCCCCCCCTGCCCCCAGGGGAAGGTCCCTGCAACCCTGTGAAGGGCAGCACCTCCGTTGACTTTGCCCTGCTGAGGAGGCCGGTGTCCTCGCTGGGTTCCATCCTGCTGAACCTTCGGGAAGGTTCACGCCTGGAGGGGCTCCATAGAGTTGCGCCGCTTCCGTGCTTGCCCGACATCTTGGTGCTGAACGAGCTGCTCTGAGGTTTAGATCCTTGGCTGGTGCCTGTAGAAAAGGAGAGAACCCCCAAATCCCCTCCAAAACCCCCTTCTGCGTCCCTGTCTCCCCTTTTTACTGGCAGCACTCGGGAGAGCTGCAAGGGGCAGCAGGTGGGTGAAGGAGATGTCATGGGTGGCCCTTTTTTTTGAGAACCCTTCCCGTTGCCAGCCCCAGGCGGGCATGTTTCACTCCAGGCCAGCTGGAAATACCGAGTTTCTCTCTAAATTTGGGTTCGGGTTAAGGAAAGGAGACCTTGACGAGGTTGCCCTTGTGAGGTGCTTCGGTAGAGGCTTTGCCGTGGGAAGCCGCGGGGCAGGCAGCTGTGACCCTGCTTGGGCAGATGCGCTCCTGCCCCGTGCTCCCGGTCCGAGCGTTGGCTGCGGCATCCAGCCTGGCTCGTCCCATCTTTGCCCTCCGTAACCTTTGCGGCCGTGTTTGTTGGAAGGAGGATTTCTTTTCTATATTTCTCGTGCCTGCCCGAAGCTCGCTAGAAACAGAGAAATCCCTTCAGCTCCTTTTTAGGTGGCAAAAAGAAGTTGACTTCGGGGTGGTGGTCCGGAGCACAGGGAGACACGGGTGAAGCAGGAGAGTGGATGTTGCAAAGTGACTGTTGCTTTTGTACTTCCCAACCATTCCACACTTGAATTTCTTTAGTTTCCATATAACGGCAGAAACATCTATTACTCGAGCATGAGAAGAGCTTCTCCAAGGACCGTGTTGGTCCAAGGCGTCTCGGTAACAACCTTCGGTTGGGCCAACGAGACGTGGCGGCCATGTGCCACCCTCGGCCGCCGTGACGTTTAGCTCTTGGGCAGCTTCTCGCTTGTTGTCCTGTTGACCAAAGACGCCCATCTCGCAGTATGGCCTCGGGCAGAGTCGTGGCGTGGGCGGCTGGGACGCGCTTTGGCTCCCGTCCCGTCTGAGCGTCGAAGGCGGAAGAAAGAGGGAGTGGGAGGAAAGCCAGAGTGAGTTTCACACGGACCTCTCTGATGTCCCCACCAGGCTGGGAAGGTGAAACGAAAGCTGCTGCAAGGTCCACAAGTGAAGACAGAGGGATTCCTGGGGCGGATCCGGCCAGGACCAGCATCCCAGCAAGGTCAGTGGGGTGGAGCTGGTTTAGCTCTTCTTCCTCAACATCCCGTGCTCAAAACCCACGTCCATCTCCTCCGTTGTGCTTCCCTTCTCACCCTCTGCCTTTTTTTTTTTTTTTTGCTTCCTCAGATGGAGAAGGAGGAGGAGACCCGGGAGATCCTGCTCCCCAACTGGCAGGGCAGCGGCTCCCACGGCATCACCATCGACCAGACGGATGACGGGGTCTTCGTCAAGCGAGTGCAGCAAAACTCCCCGGCTGCCAAGATGGGCGTCGTGAAGGAAGGTGGGACCTTGGCGCGGAGGTTGTTGTGGGGAAGGCCTTTTGGGGGGAAAAATGGGTTCTTTGTGTCTGTTTTTACCATCTTGGCGATGCCTCGATTGCTTCCTTCTTCTTCCTCTTGGGCAATAACCCTAATGCTCAAGCGTCGTTGCTCCCCATCTTGCTTGCAGCGGGGATGGGGGAGTCTCCTCCCTGCCTCTCCCTTCTGAAATATCTCACCTCTCGCCCCTCTGCTCACCCCCCCCTCCCGTACCCCCCCCAGGGGATCAGATCGTGAGCGCCACGGTCTATTTTGACAACCTGCAATCCGGGGAAGTCACGCAGCTGCTCAACAGCATGGGCCACCACACGGTGGGCTTGCGCTTGCAACGGAAAGGGGACAAGTCACCGCTGCCGGGACAGTCATGGTCACACGACGTGTTTGCGGCCAGCAGCCCAGAAGTCGTTCTGGTGAGTGACAGGGAAGGAGGGATGGCGGGGGGGGCGGGGGGCAGGAAGCATCCTGGTGCTAATGAAGGTCTCTGTGTTTCCAGAGTGGAGATGACGAGGAGTACAGGAGGATTTACACAACGAAAATCAAACCCCGGCTGAAGTCGGAGGAGGCGGTGGAAGCGGAGTGTGGTGGAACGCAGAGCAGGACCATTACGGTCACCAGAAAAGTGACGGCATACACCGTCGATGTCACGAGGCATGACGGAGCAAAAGATGTTGACGTCGTCGGCCCAGACTTTAAAATCCGGATCCCGACCCAGGAGATCACCCACGTGATGAAGACCGACGTGGAAACGGAGCCTGGGAAAACCGTGATCAAAATGGCACCGGGGGATCTGCCTGGGAGAAGCACCCAAGCCACAGACTGGAGCATGGACATCAGAGGGGCACCTCCTGGACCAACGGTTGAATCATCTGCCCAGAAGCTGGATGTCCACCTCGGCGAGGCTCAGTTTGGGAAGCCCGGGATAACCGTGTCGGGAACGCAAATGATGGGCGTTCACCTGAGGACTCAGATGGACCCTACACTGCCGGGGAGCCAAGTTCCTGCTGGGGAAACTGGAAAATCTGTTACAGTGGAGATGCCAGGACGTAACGTTTCCGGCACGGCGTTCCTGGGCCCCCAGGGCAGCTCGCCCAGAATCGAAGCCAATGGACAGATGGGAAACCTGGACGCAGGTTTTCACATCAAGGGTCCCAGGTTGGATGGCAAAGGACACGTTTCTGGCATGGATGTCCAAGGGGAGCTGCGGGGGGGGATGCTGTCACACGCCGATGCTTCTGCCCCTTGTCTTCAGGGAGATATCAAAGCCCCTGGAGCTGACGTTTCTTTACCAGCGATGGAACATCCAGCTGTTGATGTGGGGAAAATCAAGATTCCCGTTTTGAAAATGCCCAGATTTGGGTTCCAGACCGCAGGATCTGGCATCGAAGCTCAAGCCCCGCAGGTGGGCACCGACGTGCCCATGCCAAAGCTGCAGGCTCCCTGCGTGGACGTTGCCTCCTCATCTGTCCACATCACAGGACCTGAAGTTTCAGCTCCTTCAGTTAAATTCTCAAAGCCGCAGGTGGACATGGGGTTGAAGGGTGCTGTGAAGGTTCCCTCGCCAGGACTGGAGGTCCCCGGCGTGGCTATCAAAGGACCCAGTGTAGAGCTCCCAGCTTCTGATGCAGATGTTCACAGTGGCAAGGGAAAACTCAAAATCCCGCACATGACCGTCCCAAAATTTACTGCCTTGGACTCGCGAGGGGAAGGTCCCGTCATGGAAATGGTGCTCCCAAAGGGTGAGGTGGGACCAGCAGCATCCAAGGTCAACGTCAGCATTCCCGATGTGGCCATCAAAGGAGAATGGAAAGGCCCCCAGTTCAAGAAGGTTGAAACGCCCCAAATCTCCCTGTCGGATGTAAACCTGAACCTGAAAGGCCCTCAGGTGAAGGGAGATATGGGTGTCGCGGTCCCCAGAGTGGAAGGGGATGTCAGAGGAGTTGGCTCTAAGGGTCTCAAGATGGACGTAAAGGCTCCTGATGTTGAATTTGAAAGTCCAGAAGGTTATCTGAAAGGGCCCAGTATATCTGCCCCAGGTATGGACATTAATGTGAAGGGACCTAAGCTCAAGGGAGAAGTGGATGTTTCTATCCCAAAGATGGGTGGCAACCTGAAAGGACCTCAGCTTGACATTAAAGGCCCCAAAGTGGGAATGGACATGCCTGATGTAGAGGTCAAAGGCCCCAAAGTTACGATGCCAGAGGTACATGTCAAGACCCCCCAGATATCCATGCCTGACATCGACTTGAACCTGAAAGGTCCCAGGGTGAAAGGAGACCTGGACGTTTCTGCCCCAAAACTGGAAGGGGAGCTGAAAGCACCTGGGCTTGACATCAAAGGCCCCAAGGTTGACACTGAAGCGCCAGACGTGGACGTCCACGGTCCGGAGGGCAAACTGAAGATGCCTAAGCTGAAAATGCCCAAGTTTGGGGTGCCCGGTCTGAAGGGAGAGGGCCCTGACCTTGACGTGACGCTTCCAAAGGGTGAGGTGGACATTTCTGGTCCCAGGGTAGACATTGACATGCCAACCATGGACATCAAAGGGCCGGAAGGAAAACTGCAAGGCCCCAAGGTGAAGATGCCCGAGATGCACATCACAGCTCCAAAGGTCTCTGTGCCAGATGTAGATCTGAACCTGAAAGGCCCCAAGCTGAAGGGTGATGTGGATGTTTCCATTCCCACAGTAGGAGCCGATTTGAAGGGTCCTGAACTGGAGCTCAAAGGCCCCAAGGTTGACATTGAAGTGCCAGACGTGGACATTCACGGTCCGGAGGGCAAACTGAAGATGCCTAAACTGAAAATGCCCAAGTTTGGGGTGCCCGGTCTGAAGGGAGAGGGCCCCGACCTTGACGTGACGCTTCCAAAGGGTGAGGTGGACATTTCTGGTCCCAGGGTAGACATTGATGTGCCAAGTGTGGACATTGAAGGGCCAGAAGGAAAAGGAAAAGGTCTCAAATTTAAAATGCCTGAACTAAACATTCAGACGCCAAAACTGTCCATGCCAGATGTAGATCTCAGTTTGAAGGCCCCCAAACTGAAAGGAGATGCAGATATTTCTGGTCCAAAGACCTCTGTAGATCTGAAGGGCCCCCAAATAGATGTGGAAGGTCCCAAAGTGGATGTCGATATGCCTGAGGTAGACTTGGAATGTCCAGAAGGGAAAATAAAAGGCCCCAAATTTAAGATGCCTAAGCTTAATATCAAGGCACCTAAAATATCCATGCCGGATGTAGATTTGAACTTAAAGGGACATAAAATGAAAGGAGAGATGGATGTTTCTCTTCCAAAGATAGAAGGTGACTTGAAAGAATCTGGTGTTAGTATCAAGGGACCGAAAATAGATGTTGAGGTCCCAGATGTCAACCTGGAGTGTCCAGAAGGCAACCTGAAAATGCCCAAAATGAAATTGCCTCATTTTAATGTGTCTGGCCCAAAGTTTGAGGGAGCCGATATAGACGTCAACCTGCCAAAAGGAGAGATAGATATTTCTGGGCCAGAGGCAGATATTGAAGGGCCAGAGCTGGATGTTGGAGGACCAGAAGGAAAATGGAAAGGCCCCAAGTTCAGGATGCCAAAGCTGAATATCAAAACACCTAAAATATCCATGCCAGATGTAGATTTGAACCTAAAGGGACCTAAAGTGAAAGGAGAAATGGACATTGCAGCTCCTAAGATAGAAGGTGATTTGAAAGGGCCAGAACTAGACATTAAGGGGCCAAAACTAGATGTTGAGGCACCCAATATTGATTTGGAGTGCCCTGAAGGAAAACTGAAAGGTCCCAAATTCAAGATGCCCGAGATGCACATCAAAGCACCCAAGATCTCCATGCCCGACGTTGACTTCAATCTGAAAGGGCCCAGCGTGAAAGGGGATATTGAAGTCTCAGCTCCCAAGCTTGAGGGTGACCTGAAGGGTCCCGAGGTGGACATCAAGGGCCCCAAAGTCGACATTGAGGCACCCGACGTGGACATTCACGGCCCGGAAGGAAAATTCAAAATGCCCAAGTTCAAAATGCCCAAGTTTGGGATGCCTGGCTTCAAAGCAGAGGGCCCAGAGGTGGACGTGAACCTGCCGACAGGAAGCCTGGATGTTTCTGGTCCAAAGGTGGACATTGAAGGTCCGGAGGTGGACATTGAAGGGCCAGAGGGAAAACTGAAGGGCCCCAAGTTCAAGATGCCCGAGATGCACATCAAGACACCCAAGATCTCCATGCCTGACATTGACTTGAACCTGAAAGGCCCCAAGCTGAAGGGGGATGTGGAGGTTCCTGCACCTGATCTGGAAGGCGCTAAGGTTGAGATTGAGGCCCCTGATATTGACATCAAAGGCCCTGAAGGGAAGCTGAAGGGCCCCAAGTTCAAGATGCCAGAGATGCACATCAAGGCTCCCAAAATCTCCATGCCAGATTTCGATCTGAACCTGAAGGGTCCCAAAGTTAAAGGAGATGTAGACATGTCTGTATCGGGTGCTGAATGTGAACTGAAAGGTCCAGAGGTCAATATCGGCGCTCCTAAATTAGACGTAGGTGCCCCTGATGTTGATATTGACAGCCCCGAGGGTAAATTCAAGCTGCCTAAATTCAAAATGCCCAAGTTTTCCATGCCTGGCTTTAAAGGGGAGGGAGTGGATGTGGATGTGAACCTCCCAAAGGGAGACATTGACATTTCAGGCCCCAGCATAAATGTAGAGTCTCCTGATCTGAATGTGGATGGAAAAGTCAAAGGTCCCAAATTTACGATGCCTGAAATGCACATTAAGGCTCCCAAGGTCTCCATCCCTGATGTCGACTTCAACATCAAGGGGCCTCAGCTGAAAGGAGATGTAGATATTTCTGGACCCAGGCTTGAAGGTGATTTGAAAGCCCCCCAAATTGATGTGAAAGCCCCCCAAATAGACATTGAGGCTCCCGATGTGACCATTGAAGGGCCGGAAGGGAAACTCAAAGGCCCCAAATTCAAGATGCCAGAAATGCACATCAAGGCGCCCAAGTTCTCTATGCCTGATGTTGACTTTAATCTGAAAGGCCCCAAGCTGAAGGGAGACGTGGATGTCTCGGCACCGAAGCTGGAAGGCGATTTGCAGTGTCCAGATGTTGACATTAAAGGCCCCAAGTTGGACATTCAGGCACCTGATGTGAACATCGAAGGACCGGATGGCAAACTGAAAGGGCCCAGGATCAAGATGCCAGAAATGCACGTCAAGACCCCCCAGATCTCCATGCCAGACATCGACTTGAACCTAAAGGGACTGAGGCTGAAAGGCGATGCTGACCTTCAGGGCCCAAAGCTCGAGGGAGGTCTGAAGGGTCCTGAAGTTGATATTAAGGGCCCCAAAGTAGATATCGAGGGCCCAGAGGTTGATGTTGATGGTCTGGAGGGAAAAATGAAGCTGCCTAAAATGAAGCTGCCCAAGTTTGGCTTTAAAGGAGAAGGTCCTGACGTGGATGTGAACCTGCCAAAGACAGAGGTCGATCTTTCAGGCCCCAAGGTAGATATCAGTGTCCCAGATGTGAGCATCGAAGGTCCAGAGGGCAAACTGAAAGGTCCTAAACTGAAGATGCCAGAAATGCACATGAATGTTCCTAAAATCTCAATGCCTGAGATAGACTTGAATTTGAAAGGCCACAAAATGAAGGGAGGCTTTGACATTTCAGCCCCAAAGATAGAAGGTAACCTGAAAGGTCCTGAAGTAGATATCAAAGGCCCAGAATTTGGAGTCAAAAGCCCTGAAGTTGACGTCGAATGTCCTGACTTGAATATTGAAGGCCCAGAGGCAAATGTCAAATTTCCCAAGTTTAAGAAGTCAAAGTTTGGGTTTGGGATGAAAGGCCCGAAGGCAGAAATCAAGGCCCCAGGGGCAGAAGTGGATTTACCTGAGGCGGAGCTGAATGTGGAGTCGCCTGATGTCAATGTTGCTGGAAAGGGTAAGAAGAGCAAGTTCAAAATGCCAAAACTTCATATGAGTGGCCCTAAAGTTAAAGGAAAGAAAGGTGGGTTCGATGTGAATGTGGCTGGTGGAGAGCTTGATGCGAATTTGAAATCTCCTGATCTGGATATGAATGTAGCTGGTCCGGACGTGACGATAAAAGGTGATGTGACGGTGAAGTCCCCCAAAGGGAAGAAACCCATGTTTGGGAAAATCTCCTTCCCAGATGTTGAATTTGATCTTAAATCGCACAGATTCAGAGGGGATGCTTCTGTGGCAGTCCCAAAAATAGAGGGGGAACTTAAAGTGCCTGATCTAGAAGTCTCTGTGCCAACTGCCAAAGGTGACGTGAAAGGCCCAAGTCTCAATGTGGATGTTGAAGCTTCTGACATGACCCTGAAGAAACCAAAGTTCAAATTTCCCAGTGGGCAGGTGGGCGTAGGGGACTTGAAAATTGAGGGCGACCTGAAAGGACCCGCCATTGACATTGCCATTCCCTCGATCCCAGTGCCAGATGTTGACTTAAATGTGAAAGGACCAAAAGTAAAAGGTGAAGTCAGCGTGCCTGGAACAGAACTGGAAGGTCCTGAAGGAAAGCTGAAATTGCCCAAGGGGGGGAAAATGGGTGTCGGTCTGGAAATGCCAGATGCAAACTTGGATCTCTCGGTCCCAGCCGTGGAAGGAAGTGTGAGCCTCCCTTCAGCTGATGTGAACCTCCGAGGTGTTGATGTAAAGTTCAAAGGGCCCCAAATCTCTGGACCCGATTTTGATGGAAACTTGAAAGGACCAAAAATAAAGGGAGATCTGGATGTTTCGAGTTCTGTGGAAGGGCCGAATGTCAGCTTGGATGCCCCAGGTGTTGACATTGGAGGCTTGGGAGGAAAGCTGAAGCTGCCAAAGTTTAAATCCCCTGCTCTGGGGGCACCTGACCTGAGTGTGAAAGGAGGCATTGACTGCTCCGTCCCACAAATGGAGGTGGATGCAAAAGCCCCGGATGCAAATCTCAGTCTCGGCATCCCGGGCCTTGATATCAAAGGGCCCTCAGTGGACGTTTCTGCCCCGGATTTGGATGTAAACCTGAGAGGACCAAAGTTGAAAGGAGATCTTGACGCTTCTGCTGGCGTTAAATCCCCCAAAGCAGCAGTGGATGCATCTGATGTCGGCTTTGAAATTCTGGGTGGCACGATCAAGCTCCCGTCCCTCAAACTCCCCCAGTTTGGCATTTCCAGTCCTGGTGTGGATGGAGCTGATGTAGGCGTCAGTCTTGAAGGTCCCCAAGTGAAAGGAGGCCTGAAGGGTTCAGGGGCTGGTGTTGGGTTGGAAGGACCTGACGTGGAACTGAAAGGGCCGAAATTTCAAATGCAGTCACCTAGTGTTTCCTTGCCGGACGTTGACCTGAAGCTGAAAGGACCAAACCTACGGGGCGGTGTAGATGTTGCCGGTGAAATCAAAGGTCCAAAAGTCAGCATAGAAGCACCTTGTGTTGACATTAAGGAGCCTGGAGCAGGTGTCCACCTCGACGCTCCTGCCTTGGACGCGTCTGGGCTGAAAGTTTCCGGGTCAGGTTTTAACGTCAACGTAAAAGGGCCGAAGATCAAAGGTGGTGCCACCATTTCTGGAGAGGCAGCAGCACCAGCTGTGAGTGCCGGCGGGGGAGCTCTTCACATTACTGGCCCAAAGGTAGGAATCGGAGGTCCCAGCGTCACCACGAGTGTCCTGCAAGGTAGCCCAGAAAGCAGCCTGGGAAAAGTATCATTCCCCAAGCTGCGAATGCCTAAATTCGTGTTTTCAGACCCTGAGGTGAAGGGCAGAGAGATGGGGGTCGATGTCGAGTTCCCCGGGGCGGATGCCAACCTCCAGGCTGGTGCCGCAGAGCTTGAGTTGGAGGACGCGGATGTCAGACTAAAGAAATCCAAAATCAAAATGCCCAAGTTCAATTTTTCCAAGCAGAAGGGAAAAAGCAGCGGCGCACTGGGCTCCCCGGAGGTTTCCGGGTCTGTTTCGGGATCGAAAGGTGACCTGAAGAGTTCCAAGGTCAGCTTGGGGTCCGTGGAAGGCGAGCTCGATGGGGGAGAGGGTCCATCGGCGAAAGGGAAGTTCTCCCTCTTTAAAAGCAAGAAGACGCGTCACCGGTCGTCGTCCTTCAGCGATGAGCGCTCTTCCCACTCGACGCCCACAGGAACCCTGGAGCTGGACATCGGCTCAGGTGCTGACAAAGGGAAACAGGGCAAAATGAAATTCGGGACGTTTGGGGGGATCGGCTCAAAAACTAAAGGTTCTTATGAGGTGACAGGAAGCGACGAGGAGCTGGGGAAGGTGCAGGGCAGCGGGGTATCGCTAGCATCCAAAAAATCCCGCTTGTCTTCCTCCTCCAGCAATGACAGCGGGACAAAGGGCGGCTTCCGCATGCCTGGGGTGGAGCTGACGGTGGCCAAGAAGAAAGAGTAGGGCGGCTGTACATAGGTGCCTGTGTATATAGGTAGCCCTTCTCGGGTTTGTATATACATTTTGTAGCTTGGGCTACTTTCAATCTCAGCAAGCAAGCCAGCGGGGTCCGGTGGGAAGCGTCGCGGTGGGCGCCGAGGGGGGGCGGGTAGCGGTGGGTCCACGGTTGGGTCCAGCCACGTGGAAGCTTCTCCGCGCTTGAGACGGCAGCTTGTGCATGAAATGCTGAGAGCTTAAGTTTACTAGCAAGCTATTTTTGATATTTTTTTTTTTTTTCCCCATTTTACTGAATATTTTCAGTGTTTGGTTCGTGGAAACGAGGTTTGGTTTATTTTTTTTTCCCCCTCCATCTTAACAGTCTTTTTTTGGCTTTTATTTGCGGGGCTGAAACTTCTGTCAGACAAATAGATCTATTAAAAAAAAAAAAACAACTAAAGCAACAAACCACCACCCTGTAAAACGCAGCTGTAACTGAGACGCGTCCATTGAACTCCTGCTACGGGGTTGGAAAAAATAATCCGAGTGTTTCCCGTGGTTTGGTTGCGTAAGAGCATGATATCAAATAACCTCCGGCGGTGTGCGGCGGGAGGGAAAGGACGGTTAACGAGCAAGTAGCCGGCCCGTTTGTGCAGGAAATGTCTCGAAAGGTTTTGCGTATTGCCACTAAGTGACCGAGCTTGATTTTATTTTATTTTTTTTATTTTTATTGATGTGTTCTTTGTTGCCTCTACGCATTTGTTACATTATTTGTATTATAAGAGAAAAGAAAAAAAAAATTTGTTTCAGTTGCGGCCTGAAACCTCGCAATGGCCGCTTTTCCGGCGTTTGGTATAATTTTTGTTAACGAGTATATCTTGTGTTTCAAAAAAAAAAAACCAACCAGCAAACCAAAAAAAAAAAAAAAAGCAAAACCCCTTTCAGCACTTTAATGGCAAATTAACTGAGAATGTAAGAAGAATGATCTTGTAAAATGCAAATAAAAAGTTTATTAACCGTGATTCAGCAGAACCGTTGCTGTTGCGTTACTCGGCTGCACCGTTTTAGGGGTTTAAGAGTTATTTAATGTTAAATTTGAGGTCATTTACCCTCAAATTGGCCTGAGAGCCTCTGCAACTGCCCGTGTCCCCCTGCTCAGATTTGGGGTTGGGGGGTGAAGAGCGGCCGTTGGGTGGGCTCATGTCCTGCGCCCACCCCGGCCCCATTTTGATATTTTTATCCCCCTAAAAATTACATTTAAGCGTGTTTTTTTTTTTTTAATTTCCCCTCCTCCCCAAGAAATCTCTTGACCCTTAAATCGGCTTTGCCGGTTCAACAGGGTAGGAAACGGAGGGTACAG